GGTACATACGCACATTTGTAAACATCTTATATTTTATACATATTATATCGCAATATATGTTGCCCTAAAAAATATACAAGAACATATATAGGATTATATCAGATATGTACATAGACAGATAGAAAGATACATAGATATACATATATTTTTACTATATATATACACAGTCACACTTACATATATACGTACATATACATATATATATATATATATATATATATATATATATATATATATATATATATATATATGTATGTATGTATATTGCGTCTAATCTCCCAATCGTTTCTGTGTCTTTGTCTTGATAACACGACCACCTCCCTCCTTAACCCATTAACCCATTCACACGCTGGCCGCACTACCCCCTCCCTCCCCCCCTGCCCCACCCAGCCACCACGCCCCCAGAGGCAGGTTCGCTTCCTGTGGGAAAGGCGCCGCTCAGGGACCTCCTCGTCTCGGCGATCTCATTACGTTACAAATAGTAACAGCGACACGTTACACCCCCCTTTGACGCCCTGATCCCTCTCCGCCCCCCACTCCTACTCCCCCCTCCCCCTCCCCCTCCCCCCCTTCTCTTGTGTTCGAATTTGCCCCCGAGGCGAAGGAGGGGTTGGGGGAGGGGGGGGGAGGGGGGGAGGGGTAGGAAGGAGAGAAGGGGAAATGTCTTTTTTTTCATGTAATTTGCATTGTTTACGTAAATTTTGTTTATTGTCAGAAGAAAAAGAGGATTTTTTTTTTTTACAAGGCAAAGTGTCCCACAATAAATTATCTTGTTTATCAGAATCTTGGTAAATGGTATCATTATGAATACTAATAAGGATTGATTTATTCGGTGAATTTTGATATGTTATCTATTGGGCATGCGCAGTATTTTTTCAACCTCCTGAAAAAACGAAAGACAAAAGACAGACAAACAAACGGACAAGTTTCTATATTTAGCCATCGAACATTTTCTCTATGCCTCCCTTTCCCATATCTTTATCACCCTTTCTCATATTCCCTTTTCGCCTTCTCCTTTCTCCTCATCTTCCCCTTTCTCCTTATCCACTTATTTTCCTTTCCTTATCCTCTTATCCTCCCGATCTTCCCCTCTCTCTCCCCTCCCCCCTCTCTCTCCCCTTCCTCCCCTCTCTCTCCTCCTCCCCTCTGTCTCCCCTTCCTCCCCTCTCTCTACTTCCCCCCCACTACCCTTCCCCCCTCTCTCCATCCCCTCTCCCCCTCTATCTCCTTCCCCTCTCCCCCTCTATCTCCTTCGCCTCTCCCCCTCTATCTCCTGCTCCTCTCCCCCTCCTCCTTCCCCTCTCCCCCTCTATCTCCTTCCCCTCTCCCCCTCTCCCTTCCTCCCCTCTCTCTCCTTCCCCACTACCCTCTCCTCCTCCTCCTGCCCCTCTCTCCCCTTCCCCCCCTCTCTCCTTCCCCTCTTCCCTTCCTCCTCCCCCTCTCCCCTCGTTCTGAAATGTGGTTAGTGACCGAGTAAGTACCAGCAGTGATACTGATGAGAGATTGGATTACAGGATGGATACATAATGGGAGTTTCGTAAGCGAGGGGAAAGGAGGGGAAAGGGTGAGGAGAGGGGGGGGGAGGAGGAGGAAGAGGGAGGATGAAGGGAGGAGGAGGGAGAAGGGGGAGGGGGGGAAGAGGGAGGAGGGGGAGTGAGCGTGAAGGGAGGAGGTAGGTGAGGGGAGGAGGAGGGGGGGTGTGTGAGGGGAGGAAGAGGGAAAAGGGAGGAAAGAGGAACAGAAAAGAGATGATGTAGACAAAGAAGGGAAAAAGAAGGAAATAAATAAGAGGAAGAAAGAAAAAGCAAAAAGAGGGGACAAGATAAAAAGTAGAAATATAAGGAGACGATTGAAGAGAAATGAATATAAGAATTACGATCAGAACAATGAAGAAAACGAAGAGAAATGAATGGAACGAAAGAAAAGAGAAGAAGAGAAAATAAAGATAAAAGGGAAAAAGTACACTAATCGATAATAAAAGAAGAGAAAGGAAAGAAAAGAAAATAATAGGAGAAGAAGAGTCAGAGAGATAGAAAAGAATAAGGAAACGTGAGAATAAAAAGAGGAGACAAAGGAGATGAAGAAATAGAATAAAAAGAAAGGAGAGAAGAAGGAAGAAGAAAAAGAAGAAAGTGAATTAAGGGAATAAAAAAGAGATGGAAGAATAAAAAGATAAACAGGAGGAAAAGAAAGTGTCAGTGAAGGAGGAAGAATGGTAATCTTAAAAAAATTATGAAGATAATGATAATAATAATAATAATAACAATAATAATAAAGATAATAATAGAAATGGTAACAAATAAAAAATATAGTGATGATAATGATAATGATAATAATAGTGATAACGAACATAATGATAATATTGATAATAATAATAATAATCATGATAATAATAATGAAAATAATTGATGACGAAAAAGAAGAAGAAAAATATGAAGAGGAAGAATAATAAAAACGAAAAAGAAGACGGAGAATAGGAAGGAACAACAAAGCAAACAAAAGAGTAAATACCAAACAAAAGAGAAACGGATCCTAACACAAAGAAAACGGGGCGAAGAGACAAAGCAAAACAACGATAAAAGAAAGAAAGATGGATAAGAAAGAAAAAAAAATAACGAGAAAATAAAAAGAAAAGGAAAAAAAACGAAGAAAGGAAAGGAAGTAAACGAGAAAATGGAAGAGGAAATGATAGAAAAGAAAAGAAAAAGGAAAGGAAAAAATAGAAAGAAATAAAATAAAGAAAAATACCAAGAAAATGAAAAATGAAATGATAGAAAAGAAAAGAAAAAGAAAAGGAAAAAGTGAGAAAGAAAAATATTAAGAAAATAGAAGAGTACATTGTGGAAAAGAAAAGAAAAATACAAGGAAAAAAAGATAGAAAGAAATAAAAGAAAGAAAAAATGAAGGTAATAGAAGAAAGAATGATAGAAAAGAAACGAAAAATACAAGGAAACAAAGATAGAAACAAAGAAAAGAAAGAGAAAGACCAAGAAAATGGAAGAAGAACTGATAGAAAAGAAAAGAAATACACACACAAAATATAGAGACAGAAAAAAAAGAAAAGAAAAGAAAAAGATCAACGAAACAGAAGAGAGAAAGAGAGAAAAGAAAAGAAACACACACACACACAAAATAGAGACAGAAAGAAAGAAAGGAAAGAGAAAGACCAAGAAACCCGAAGAGGGAAAAGGGAGAGACGGCGCAGAAGGATTAGGGAGCCGGCGTACATCCAAAGAGGATTAGCGAATCATTCTACACGCTCGAGAACAAAAGACTAACGCGTCAAGATCACATTTTGATTGGTGATTATTCCTATATCTACCGTAACGACTGTGTGTGTGTGTCTGTCTGTCTGTCCGTCTGTAATGCGTGTTGGATGGGCGTGGGAGTGCGGTTGCGGCGACGGAGTGGTGATTTTGGTTTATTTATTATTATTTATTTTTTTGGGGTGGTGGGGGGGGGGGGGTGGTGGGGGAAAGGGGGGAAGGGGAGGGAGGGAGGGGGGGTGATGGTGGTGTTGTTGTATTTGTTTGTTTGTCTGTATGTGTGTGTATGCGTGTAAGTGTATGTGTATGTGTGTGTGTTTGTGTGTGTGTGTATGAGTGTGTGTGTGTGTGTGTGCTTATGTGTTTATGTGTGTGCGTATCTGTGCATGCGTGTGTGCGCGCGTTTAAGGGTTATCTTATACGTTTTTTTATGACCTTCATTCCCGATGTCCTGATGATGCCACGTAACGATATCGTGGCCGCGATATCAAAGGATAATTAAATTTTCGCTCAAATTAACTTCAACAAGAGGAGAAGATTCCCACGGTACAGCCCTGCGTGAAATAGTTATATAATGATATCTCCCTCCCTTCCTCCCTCCCTTCATCCCTCGCCCTTCCCTCTCACTTCCCTCCCTCCACCCCTCCCCGCTCTTCCCTCCCTTCATCCTTCCCTCCACCCCTTCCCGCTCCTCCTTTCCTTGTATTCCTCCCTCGCCCTCCCTCTCGCTTCCCTCCTCCCTCCCTCCTTCCACCTTCCGATTCCCGTCTTCCCTCCTCCTCCTTTCTACCCTCCCTCCCTCCCTCCCTCCCTCCCATTCCCCGCTTCCCTCCTATGCATTCCCTCTTTCTACCCTCCCGCTCCCTCCCTCCTTCCCATCCCTCTTTTCTGCCTTCCCTCCCTCCCTTCTCTCTACTTTCCCTCCATCCCTTCCTCCTCCCCCTCCTTCTCACTTCCCTCCTTCCTCCCTCCCTTTTCACCCTCCCATTATCGTCTTCCTTCCTCCCCATCCCATCTTCCTCCCTCCCTAACCTCCTCTTTCCTTCCTCCCTTCCTCCCCTTCCTCCTTCCTTCCCTCCCTCCCTCCCTCCCTCCCTCCCTCCGCCGTAAATTCACATTCACGTCGTTAGTTTAAGGCTGAAAAATATCCAATTAATAAATCCCCAAATCGAAGGTCCGTAGAATAGGAAGAAACTAATAATCCTTTCAAATGAGGGACCTCCCCCCCTCCCCCTCCCCCCCATCGCCACTGCTGCCATATGACGGGCGCTCAATTATTCTAACGCTGGGAGCCTTATGTATCTATAAATATTTTTTCTCCTTTCTCTTTAGGTAATTCATATGTGAGAATTACGTGCTTGTGA